CTGGAGGGGGGACTGACTGGATGTCCTGAGGGATTAACATGAACGTTTGGAGAAAATAACCCCCCCTCTCTCCTTTATATATTTGTTCTATTCCAGATTGACAGCAAATCAAGATTTCAGTTGGTAGGATCCAAACAGGTTCTGACTTCCTTCTCCTCTGACTTCCTCTCTATACATCTGATTAAAAAATCTACCAAGTGTGAAAACCCGGGCTGAGGTTGAAGGAAGAGACGCAGTAAGTTCACTCTCAGTTTGTTCAGAAAATCTATCTGTGAGTAACATGTCATTATGATTTTACTTAAGGGTTACTTTAAGGGTTACTTTAAGGGGTTTTAGTATTCCCTGCTACTTTAAACTGTACTTCACTTCAGAGGTAAATCTCCTCCTGTTCGGTGGAAACCATGAATCCTATCAGTATTGAAAAAATGGGAAAAGAAAAGAAAAAATATATCCTGAGAGATTAGGGTTAGTACATTACTACTAACGCTCTATAGATACAATGCAGATCGTGTACTTGAGTTAAAGTAGAAGTACTCAGATCGTGTACTGGAGTTAAAGTAGAAGTACTCAGATCTTGTACTGGAGTTAAAGTAGAAGTACTCAGATCTTGTACTTGAGTAAAAGTAGAAGTACTCAGATCGTGTACTTGAGTAAAAGTAGAAGTACTCAGATCTTGTACTGGAGTAAAAGTAGAAGTACTCAGATCTTGTACTTGAGTAAAATAGAAGTACTCAGATCTTGTACTTGAGTAAAAGTAGAAGTACTAAGACCTTGTACTGGAGTAAAAGTAGAAGTACTCAGATATTGTACTTGAGTAAAATAGAAGTACTCAGATCTTGTACTTGAGTAAAAGTAGAAGTACTGAGATCTTGTACTTGAGTAAAAGTAGAAGTACTCAGACCTTGTACTTGAGTAAAAGTAGAAGTACTCAGATCTTGTACTTGAGTAAAAGTAGAAGTACTCAGGTCTTGTACTTGAGTAAAAGTAGAAGTACTCAGATCTTGTACTTGAGTAAAGTAGAAGTACTCAGATATTGTACTTGAGTAAAAGTAGAAGTACTCAGATATTGTACTTGAGTAAAATAGAAGTACTCAGATCTTGTACTTGAGTAAAAGTAGAAGTACTCAGATCTTGTACTTGAGTGAAAGTAGAAGTACTCAGATCTTGTACTTGAGTAAAAGTAGAAGTACTCAGATCTTGTACTTGAGTAAAAGTAGAAGTACTCAGATCTTGTACTTGAGTAAAAGTAGAAGTACTCAGATCTTGTACTTGAGTAAAGTAGAAGTACTCAGATCTTGTACTGGAGTAAAAGTAGAAGTACTCAGATCTTGTACTTGAGTAAAATAGAAGTACTCAGATCTTGTACTTGAGTAAAAGTAGAAGTACTAAGACCTTGTACTGGAGTAAAAGTAGAAGTACTCAGATATTGTACTTGAGTAAAATAGAAGTACACAGATCTTGTACTTGAGTAAAAGTAGAAGTACTGAGATCTTGTACTTGAGTAAAAGTAGAAGTACTCAGACCTTGTACTTGAGTAAAAGTAGAAGTACTCAGATCTTGTACTTGAGTAAAAGTAGAAGTACTCAGGTCTTGTACTTGAGTAAAAGTAGAAGTACTCAGATCTTGTACTTGAGTAAAAGTAGAAGTACTCAGATCTTGTACTGGAGTAAAAGTAGAAGTACTCAGATATTGTACTTGAGTAAAATAGAAGTACTCAGATCTTGTACTTGAGTAAAAGTAGAAGTACTCAGATCTTGTACTTGAGTGAAAGTAGAAGTACTCAGATCTTGTACTTGAGTAAAAGTAGAAGTACTCAGATCTTGTACTTGAGTAAAAGTAGAAGTACTCAGATCTTGTACTTGAGTAAAAGTAGAAGTACTCAGATCTTGTACTTGAGTAAAATAGAAGTACTCAGATATTGAGAAGTACTCAGATCTTGTACTTGAGTAAAAGTAGAAGTACTCAGATCTTGTACTGGAGTAAAAGTAGAAGTACTCAGATATTGTACTTGAGTAAAATAGAAGTACTCAGATCTTGTACTTGAGTAAAAGTAGAAGTACTCAGATCTTGTACTTGAGTGAAAGTAGAAGTACTCAGATCTTGTACTTGAGTAAAAGTAGAAGTACTCAGATCTTGTACTGGAGTAAAAGTAGAAGTACTCAGATATTGTACTTGAGTAAAATAGAAGTACTCAGATCTTGTACTTGAGTAAAAGTAGAAGTACTCAGATCTTGTACTTGAGTAAAAGTAGAAGTACTCAGATCTTGTTCTTCAGTAAAAGTAGAAGTACTCAGGTCTTGTTCTTGAGTAAAAGTAGAAGTACTCAGTTCTTGTTCTGGAGTAAAAGTAGAAGTACCAGAGTGTAGGAATACTCTGTCACAGTAAAAGTCCTGCATTCAAAATGTTCCTCAAGTAAAAGTAGAAAAGTATTCTTATCAAAATATAGTGAAAGTAGCGACAGTAAAAGTATTCGTTGTGCAGATTGGTCCATTTCAGAATAATATATATGATATGTGTTATAATGATTGATCATGAAAGTGTTCTCAAAGCTGGTGAAGGTGCAGCTAGTTTGAAGTACTTTGTATACTGCAGGGTAGCTGGTGGATTTACTCCAGGTGGAACTAAAGTCTGATTCAACACTTGGTTAGATTTACCATCATTCATCCAGATCTGTGAAGTAACTAAAGGTATTAATACATGTAGTGGAGGAAAAGTACACCATGTACCTCTGAACTGTAGTGGAGTCGAAGTACCTCAAAGTTGTTCTTATGTAAAGTACTTGAGTAAATGTAGTTACTCTACACCTCCTCCTGTTTGTGCTCAGATGGCCCTGAAGGAATTGGAGACAGAGTGGAGGACGGCGCTGAGCTCCATCCTGGACGAGCTGACGGATGACGAGTTCCAGAAACTTCTGTTTAACCTGGAGAAGATCCCTCAGGAGGTGAAGGAGGGGCGGCTGCGGGGCGACATGCCCAGCCTCATCATCAAGACCTACAGCACCGAGGGATCCATCGCACTCATCGACCGCCAGATGAAGATCCTGCCCAGGCTGGACGCCGCCTTTCACTTATTTCGTAGCAGCTAAAATAAAGGACGACATAAGACAAAATGAATAAGTAAGAAAATAAGACTAATAATGTTGAAAAGGTGATGTTGCTAAAACAAGGCCAACCTGAAAAGTTGTTTAAACTGATGTTTCCTGGCGGCTTGTTCCACAGAAGACATCATATGGAAGCTAAATAGCCCCCAAAGCAAAATGCTCCTCACCTTAATCTGAAGACTTTACCTGATGTTGTATCACGTCCTGAACATTGACCGTTAACGTGTCTTCATGCAGGTTCAAAGTGTCGGCATCCGGAAAGTGACTCTTGAGGTTATAGGGATCAAGGAAGCCACGCTGAAGGAGACTCACCTGGAGGTGGATTTAGACACGAAGCTGCTCACGCTCATCGTGGCGTCTCGACTTCCAGCTGAAGACAGGCTTTGGTGATGATCTCCTTGACACTAGAACCGCCAGGGGTTCAAATGTACCCGCTATTAGAATGCATTGATTTTCAAGGTACAATGTTCTTTTATTTATCATACTAGAACACAGGGTTAACAGTGAGTTTCCACAGTGATGAAACGTATACCAATATAATCTGTGGACTCTCAGCTTTCATATGATATCTACTTTGTGCAGATTGCATGAAGTGTAAAAGATCGCTAACGTAAATTATGTGCAAAGTGTATCTATTTATCTCTCTATCTCTATATCTCTCTCTCTATCCATCCATCCATCGTTCCATGTATCTATCTACATATCTATCCATCTCGCTATCTATCTATAAGGAACTGCAGTAAACAACAGGCATTGCTATAGCAACAGGTCATGTTTATGTTTACGCGCGAGATCAATAGCGCGAAAATCACTGTATTTTCTATCAGGTAAATATTACCTGCTGGCGCTGATGGGTATAAATGGCAATTTTTTCAATCTGACTTGATATTGAAACATTTAACAACAGATTGTGCTACAAAAAACACTTTCAGGAAAAGTCACAGACTGGGAGACTTGAATATTTTGTTGAAAGAAGTTACACACAATCAAGAAACAGCTGTGGGTAGAATGTTGGCGGTTCTAGTGTTGAAAGAATACCGCTCTCAGTGGAGGCTGAAACACGAGGAAACAGAAGCATCAAACTGACAGACCCTGAGAACATCTGAAGTTCTGCAAATGAATTTTTTCCTCAAAATCTCAAAATTCAGACTTTATTTAGAAAATCTCGAAATGTTGACTTTTTAAAAAACTCAAAAAACTTAATTTAATAATTTACCTCCCTGTTTTTGATAGCTTGTTTTGGTAGTTATTAGTTTAATACACTTTAGATCAGTGGTCACCAACCGGTCGATCGCGTGGTTAGATCGCGCACCGTTAAAAAAAAGAAAGTAACAAAAGAAAGAAAGTAAAAAACAAAAGATAATGCTTTTTTTTAGTGTATAGATGTCATCTATCATCCACCACCCCGTTAGCACGTGCCACTTGATTGACGTATCTTTGAGGCATTCCCTGTCGTTCCCAAAAATAATAGACTGACTTAAAGTGATGCTGCATATTGTTGAACTCAATGCACTTATGGGAGATACCAACTACAACAAGATGAACATATTTGACCGTGATTTAATTGTAATACACGTTTCTAAATGATGCCGAAGTAACAACATACTGATACCGGTTAGTAAGAACCATGAATTAATGCTTTGACAAGTCTGCAGACAGACGGCAGAGAAACACCTTTTAAAATGCGTGTTTTCTGAATGGAGATCGGCTAAGCTAACGTTATATATGCTCTGACCGTCCACACTCACAACAACGGCCTACATACATAAATAAAGCAGCGACTGTATTCTCCATGACACAGGCAGTCTGTGGTTTGTACTTGTTTAACTTCTGTCTAGTTTCTGAACAGATATGAGGAGCTGTGAGCTCTGAGTGCTAACAGCTAACAGCTAACGGCTGATGTTTTGGTTTTCTGATTCAACGTCAGTGACGGCAGTCTGAGATGCTCACCGCTGATTGGCTACCCCGTCTTGCATTGACTTTACATGTAATCGCGCCGCCCCCAGAAGTCGCATCTCGTCCGGTGTGAACGCACGGATAAAGAAGGTTGTTAGAATTTTGAATTTGTAAGAATTGTGTTAAAAATAACTAGTTTTAATGTTAATGTTAAATGTTGCACTGCATGAAGCTTCAGTGGATAAGCCTCACGGTTTAAATGGCACTTTGTTATCTGCTCACTGCAAAGTGTTGTTTTTTTCTTTGTTGTTGTTGCTGTCAACAAAATAATTTACTCATTCGCTCAAACAAATGGAAAATAAGCTACATACATTTATATTTAGGATTGTAATGAAGGAATGAATGAAACTCAAAATGATAGGTATGATGTGAATATATATATGTATCTTTTTGACATGGTAGTTATGTTGTGTTCTTGGTTTAATCGAATTGGAAGTTGCACCAAATGATTTGATGTCATTCACAATTAGCCGACATAAAGGCCTCACATTGGAAGTTCTGTCCGGGCGTCTTTTTCACTCAATTCTGCAACAGGTCGATCTCGCCTTTCGCCGAGGTCGGGGATCTTGGGCTTAAAAAGGTTGGTGACCACTGCTGTAGATTAATAAAGCACCTGCTGTTGAGATTTGTGTGTTTATGAAATTCAGAAAAACAACGTTAACCAACAATAATGATCAGGTATTTTAAATGTATGTATTTGTCATTTAACTTTTTTTAATGTATTATAACGTCATTAACTAATTAAAACGTTCCCCTATTCAATGTTCCCAGTCATATATTTTGTTTACTTTAGTATTTATCTGGTCTGATTTATTATTCATAAACAAAAACACCAAGCCTGAAGCTGACTAAATAAAATGCCATTCAATTGAACAAAAATGATAATAAATACATATTTCCATCACCATTTTTACTCCCATTTATTTATTTAATAATTTCCCTTTATTTAACTCTTATTTAAATGTATTTATTTTATATAAGACACATTTTTATAATATGTTAATGAGATCCTGTTCACAATAAATGGGCCAAACCATTCTTCACTGGAGGGGGGGACTGACTGGATGTCATGAGGAGAATATAACCCCCCCCTTATATATTTGTTCTATTCCAAATTGACAGCAAATCAAGATTTCAGTTGGTACGATCCAAACAAATTCAGACTTCCCGCTCCTCTGACTTCCTCTTTAGAAATCTGATTAAAACATAAACCCCGGGCTGAGGTTGAAGGAAGAGACGCAGTAAGTTCACTCTCAGTTTGTTCAGAAAATCTATCTGTGAGATACATGTCATTATACATTTACTTAAGGCTTACTTTAAGGGTTACTTTAAGGGTTACTTAAAGGTTACTTTAAGGGTTACTTAAGGGTTACTTAAGGGTTACTTTAAGGGTTACTTAAGGCTTACTTTAAGGGTTACTATAAGGGTTACTATAAGGGTTACTTTAAGGGTTACTATAAGGCTTACTTTAAGGGTTACTTTAAGGGTTACTTAAGGGTTACTTTAAGGCTTACTTTAAGGGTTACTTAAGGCTTACTTTAAGGCTTACTCTAAGGGTTACTTTAAGGGTTACTCCAAGGGTTACTCTAAGCGTTACTCTAAGGGTTACTCTAAGGGTTACTCTAAGGGTTACTCTAAGGGTTACTATAGCCCGCAGCGAGGTCTGAACGAAGCAAAGAGAGCTGTGTAAACTATAGCTGTAAATATGCTATGATGTCCTTTTAGTTGTTCGGTTATGTGTTGTGTTTCATGTGGATACTTGCAGCAGGACTCCCTTGAAAAAGAGATCAATGATCTCAATGGGATTCACCTGCATAAATAAAGGTTTGAAATTAAATGAGCTGCAAACAAAGAGACGAATAATTCAAATTATTTGTTTGCAAGTTATAGCTTTACGTTTGAGATGAGTTTCTGTAGCTTGACTGAGTTTTCTCTTAAACTCTCTTAGTGTTGCTTGATCTTAACGGCACGACCCTGATCCCATATATCGGAGCTCCTTACAGAATATACTATATATTATATCTCACGTTGCTCTATTCTCAATGTAAAGCGTTTGGGATGCTGCAGGCACTGACCCTAATATCTGACTTTGTAAAGAAGATAAGACATACAGATACAATGTTCGAAAAATAAAAGAGTATTGAAAGTCAGACAATTTACAATATGCTAAATTCACTGGCTGTGACAGATGCTTGCTCAGCCTGGACCAGGAGGTGGGCTTGAGTTCAGGCTGGGCTACAGCAGGTCAATTCAGTTCATTTCTTGTAAATGGTTTGTTCATATTTGTACAGTGGCGGCGGGTGGATTGTTTAGGTCGGGCTGCGCCACGTGAACCCATTTCAGCAAACATCCCAGAATGACTTCATGCAAAATAACAAGAGTTTTCAGTGTTAACTTACAGTCTTTCATTTTAATGCCTTCATAAACAATTCAAGCATTTGAGACTATGTACAAAAACTGAACAACAAAACAATGGCATTAGCAATACTTGCATACATATATGTATGTATATATATATATACATATATATATGTATATATATATATATATACATATATATATGTATATATATATATTAGTGCTGTCAAAATTATCGCGTTAACGGCGGTAATTAATTTTTTGAATTAATTGCGTTAAAATATTTAACGCATTTAACGCATGTGCAGAATGGCCCGCCCCATACGTGCCACCAGTGGCAGCGCCAGGGTATGGCTGGGGTAGGCTACACCCATACCAAGAAATGGCTTAGCCCCACCATGAAAAATGATGTTAAAGGAAGCAAAATAAAGTCTGCCAACTCGCGCGGAGTAAATTGCACAGACAGCAGTTAGTAAGATTGATTTCAGTAGCCACGGTTTTGAAAACTTTTGTCACGTAGTGATCGTCTTCTCAATAGAACATCTTTGATAACGGCGTGGTGTTGTTGCAGGAAGTCCCGACGGAGAATACTTTTGCTGTAGTACAGGGGTGCACATAACTGGTACGCAGGTTATGTGAGTAATCTGAAATGCGTACCGTCACTTGTGTCACAAAGCGCATTTGCGTACCGACGTACTTGTGAAACTTTTCCAGAAGGCGGTTAGATCACCGGACGACAGAGTCGGTCTCCGTGTGCACAGACAGGGCTGCTGTTAACGTCGGTCTGTACAACGGAATTGTGCCAAAACTACGCCAACCGGCTGCGGAGGGAGACTGCATATCCCCACCGTGCAATAATCATGATCTGTCTCTATGTATACACTGTAATATTTATCATATATATTTGATCATAATTATATTTTATTCATTTATTTATTTATTAATCCTGGTCATCTACAGGTCGATCCGAAGCTGTGTGCGCTACTTGCTGGTCGTAACTGTCAGACCTTTTAATCTGTGTTTTAATATGTCTGTTTTCAAAGCACTCGGTGGAATTAGAAATCTTGTTGTATTCTGTACAATGAAAAGCTTTTGAATTTGAATATAATGTATATAAAATGTAGGAGAGGGGAGCGTGCTCTGAGATCAGCTGCTGGGCTGTCAGAAGAGGAGGAGAAAAAGAGATCTCCGTCCTCCGTGTGTTATTCTTATAGAAGTAAGAAGAGAAGTAACGGGGCAGAAACCCTCCTTTTTACGCAGCGGTCCAGACATAGACATCAAACCTGCGACACATATTCAGTTGGCAGTTACTTTGGCATTAGGGCAGGGATATCTAGATACTTTCCAAGGTTCGACATCATGAAGTGTGCTACTTTTAAAACAAGCAACGATGTTTTCAAATCTGTGATCAAAAAGCTCCTCAAAAACACTATCGAAGTAGTTCCTGCCGTTGCTACGTTAGTTCAAACAGTAACAACGGACTACTTTTCTTAGCGGATGCATGTCAATTAAAATAAATACATAAAACTATTTTTTAAATCAATAAAATCATTTTCTAAATCCATAAAAGCATTTCAATTAATATTGGGAGTAATGTCGTTACTTTGTTGAGAATGTGGCCATGTAATAAGCGGGATAATGTGCACATTGCACAATGTGCCTTCATGCCGATCTAGATCCCTCCGCAAAAAAAACCCAAAAAAAAACGGCTCGTTCTTGGGCGAGAGCCGGCTCCCGTCGTTCACTTAAAAGAGCCGGCTCTTCGCGACCGACACATCACTACCCCATACGTAGCGAGGTTTTAATAAGTGCAGTCTTCCTCACTGTCCTCTATTTCCTCTTCTTGCATGCTAGATGATGAAGATGATGCACATCCCTGTCTCTTTTTAAGCCTCCGATTTGCTTTCTCCAAAATGTGTTGCCAAAACTGTGAAGTCCTTGTATTTCTGAGGCCAAGTTGAAGGATCAAATACTAAGAAATGATCACATGACTTGAAGTCATATGAGTTCTTCTTTGACGTGCCTTTAAAAACGGTGGCGGTCTTCAGGCGCTCCTCCTCCTCCAGCACAGCGTAGGAAACTAAACCAACCAATCCCCTGAAAATACCGGGGTTGACTGAAGAGTCTCGTCATGCCCACAAAGCCAACTCCAAAGCCTCACAAAACTTCATTATTTTGCAGATGGACCTGAAGGCGTTGGAGACGAAGTGGAGGACGGCGCTGAGCTCCATCCTGGACGAGCTGACGGCCGACGAGTTCCGGAAACTTCTGTTTAACCTGGAGAAGATCCCTCAGGGGAAGAAGGAGGGGCGGCTGCGGGGCGACATGCCAAGCGTCATCATCCAGTACTACAGCACCAAGGGATCCATCGCACTCATCGACCGCCTGATGAAGGACCTTCCCAGGCTGGACAACAGAGTGCAGCAGCCGCTCAGAGGCATGAAGGACGAGCTGAAGAAACTCCGGCAGAAAAGCAAAGGTCAGCTCAGCGGGGGTCGTGTTGGGCGAGAGCCAGACCTCCTTCTCAAAACGTTTTACATAACTCTTTCACTCATTTCGTAGCAGTACAAAATGAAACAGAACCCGAGCAGACCCCTGGAAAACTCTGTTAAACAAACGTTGCATTTTGTATATTTCTAAATGTGTGGAACGTGGTGAAGGCCGGTGAACGTCCTCTTGTGAAGCTGACAATTGAGCGGCCCGACCAAGCAAGGAGGCAGAGGCAGAACGTCCAAAAATATAACCCGGTGTGGCATTTATTAAACTTGAGCACAGGACACAGCCTCAATCTTGCTGTTCCTGTGAACACAGTCACCAGCTGCCAGCCTCCAAACAGACAGGGCAACAGACCCTAAATACACACACTAATCAGCAATTCGACACAGGTGGGGGGGAGGAGACAACACAGGGCACCAGGTGCACACAATCAACAGCCACAGACATGGGGGAAGGGGAACACTTTTAACATGAAACCAGGAAACAGAGACAAACTAGTTACATCAATTACATATATTCCCATGCTTCCTGTGCAATGTTTTTAGTGCTATATTACCCGTAACGGAGGCCGAGATCTATGGGCCCAGAGATCACCTCCGTTACAGTACACATAACGTTTCCGTACACGTTTCCGTACACGTCCCCACATACGTTTCCGTACACGTCCCGTTTCGGTACACGTCCTGTTTCCGTACACGTTCCCGTACACGTCCCCACATACGTTTCCGTACACGTCCCGTTTCCGTACACGTTTCCGTACACGTTCCCACATACGTTTCCGTACACGTCCCGTTTCCGTACACGTCCCGTTTCCGTACACGTTCCCGTACAAGTCCCGTTCCCGTACACGTCCCCACATACGTTTCCGTACACGTTCCCGTACACGTCCCCACATACGTTCCCGTACACGTCCCCACATACGTTTTCGTATATGTCCCGTTTCCGTACACGTCCCCACATACGTCACGTTCCCACATACGTCACGTTCCCGCATACGTTTCCGTACACGTCCCGTTTCCGTACACGTCCCGTTTCCGTACACGTTTCCGTACACGTTCCCACATACGTTTCCGTACACGTCCCGTTTCCGTACACGTCCCGTTTCCGTACACGTTCCCGTACAAGTCCCGTTCCCGTACACGTCCCCACATACGTTTCCGTACACGTTCCCGTACACGTCCCCACATACGTTCCCGTACACGTCCCCACATACGTTTTCGTATATGTCCCGTTTCCGTACACGTCCCCACATACGTCACGTTCCCACATACGTCACGTTCCCGCATACGTTTCCGTACACGTCCCGTTTCCATACTGTTGTAGCAGACGTCATTCTTTGGCGGGGCTCTAAGGCCCCCCCCCTCTGCCTCCGCGCGTCCTTTTGTGAATGGGTCAGATTAACAGAGGAAGAATTCACAGCAACCATTGGTAAGGTTATAACAAATATGCTGATTTAATGGCAAAAGATACAATAACACAACATCACGAAGTAATCCGGATTACCCCGGCCGTGGTCCTAATGCCGGGAGAACATCATCAGTCTTGACGGCAGGAGGAAAAGAGACCGGACACAAGGACTCAACAGGAGATATTGTAAAAACAACGGGAGGAGCTGTGTGGATGGTACTCCCATACAGGTCATCTATTGGCCCATATACAAACGATGGGCTTTCGTAGCGTATCAGCGCGCGCCAGCCGAGATGATCCGGAAACAGTCCCTTAGTTTGAAGCAAAACAACCACATCTGGTGTTCGCTGTCTCATTTTGTTGCTTTCACACACACACATTCTTCAGACCTCCCTCCCCCATCTAGTCTCCTGTCCTGCACAACTGCACCCCCCCCCCCCTTTATGCAGAGTAATACAACATGTTTAAGCTAACTACTCCACAATGTTGTAGCAATTTTACCCACACATGAAAGAATACAGCAGAGAAGCACAATTTAATACATACATTTTATTCAGACCTTAATTGTGTGACCCAATTCTCAAGGCCCTTTTTATAGGTCTGCCTGACATGCATCATTAACTACAAGAATGTAACTGCCTTCTCTCTGGGGAAAATGTCTCTTGGAGTTCCCCTGTTATTTTGCAAAGACCATTGATGATTACCTCAGAAACTCATGGCCTATAACTGCAACAAGAGGCGCATTCACACTGAGGTACTTTTCCCACAAAGGTTCATGTGAACTTAGTTCATGTGAACTCTTTTATCGCGTTCACACCAAAAAGAGCCGGTACTAAAATTAGTTCATGTGAACCTTTTTACCCCCTCGAAAGTCCCTGCTAGAGAGCAGGGACTTTCGTACGGCTCTCTTGTGAGAAAAGAGCTATATTTCTGATTGGCTGGGCGGATTGCAAACCATGCCCCGTAAAACTCCCAAAAAGTTTTGTGAAGCCGCCATTTTATTATCCTTGCATTAGCATTATTAGCATTAGCCCAGCGCAGAAATGCAGAGAGACTAACTTATGGCAACACAAAATAAAACATGGGAGCGGTGGAGATGAGGAGGTGTCGGCATTCTGGCGATTTACTCGGAAGGCTTCAGTAGAAGCTGCTGGGACTCCCAGCAGCCTTCCCCAACTCCGGGGACTTCCGGCCGGGGACTTTGGGCGGCAGTATACGCCTTGAAGTGGTTTGCGGCCTGCCAGTAAGCCCAAATCAGAAGAAGAACAAGTGACGTCAGCGGCTTCATTTGCCTAATCCACCCCCAGGGACTTTTTCCAGTGTGAACGCGATCTGTACTTAGTTCATGAGAACTAGAGAGTTCACATGAACTAAGTTCACGTGAACCTTTGTGGGAAAAGTACCGCAGTGTGAATGCGCCTAAGGCTTTCTGAAAAACACTTAACGGGTAATTTTTTCACTCAAAACAGAACTCACAAGTTATACTGCACCTTACTTACTTACAAATAGCCAAAACACCACCCTTTTGATTATATGTCAAAGTGGAAGAAAAAGACTATTGCGCTAATCTACTTTTAAGAAAAAAGGAACATTGTTGAATATCTAAAAAACCTCTATATTTAAGAGGAAAAATGTACTTTGTTCCTTCAACTATTAACACACAGGAATGTATAAAACCACACATATATTAGTGATAACATGATGCAACACACCTCTTATAGATCAGGTGACATTAAGATGAATATACCAAAAATACGCTGTATTAACTTTTCACTTCAAATCTTCAAGTTACTTCAATATTCGCACAATACACGTCCCGTTTCCATACACGTCCCGTTTCCATACACGTCCCCAGATACGTTTCCGTACACGTTCTCACGTACGTTTCCGTACACGTCCCCACGTACACGTTCCCACGTACGTTCCGTACACGTTCCAACGTACACGTTCCCACGTACGTTTCCGTACACGTTCCCACGTACGTTTCCGTACACGTTCCCACGTACGTTTCCGTACACGTTCCCACGTACACGTTCCCACGTACACATTCCCACGTACGTTTCCGTACACGTTCCCACGTACGTTTCCGTACACGTTCCCACGTACGTTTCCGTACACGTCCCGTTTCCGTACACGTCCCGTTTCCGTACACGTCCCCACGTACGTTTCCGTACACGTCCCGTTTCCGTACACGTCCCCACGTACGTTTCCGTACACGTCCCGTTTCCGTACACGTCCCCACGTACGTTTCCGTACACGTCCCCACGTACGTTTCCGTACACGTTCCCACTTACGTTTCCGTACACGTTCCCACTTACGTTTCCGTACACGTTCCCACTTACGTTTCCGTACACGTTCCCACTTACGTTTCCGTACACGTTCCCACTTACGTTTCCGTACACGTTCCCACGTACGTTTCCGTACACGTTCCCACGTACGTTTCCGTACACGTTCCCACGTACGTTTCCGTACACGTTCCCACGTACGTTTCCGTACACGTCCCGTTTCCGTACACGTCCCCACGTACACGTCCCGTTTCCGTACACGTCCCCACGTACACGTCCCGTTTCCGTACACGTCCCCACGTACGTTTCCGTACACGTTCCCACGTACGTTTCCGTACACGTTCCCACGTACGTTTCCGTACACGTCCCGTTTCCGTACACGTCCCGTTTCCGTACACGTCCCGTTTCCGTACACGTCCCCACCAGGGTTTCCGTTAGGATTTTTTCTCGCCGGTCAAATGTCCGGGCAGAATTTATTTTACCGGACAAATTTGAAACTTACCGGTCATATTTCAATAATAATAGTAAGAGTTGTGTAGCAGAGTTTCCGTTAGCAGGTAATGACCGGACTATGAGCAGATATGCTTCAGTTTAAAACTCAGTTCACGGGGCTCATTTTTATATTGCTTCAGTCTATAATCGTAACAGATCGAAAAATTCAGATCCATTTTTCAATAAATGATTCCACAAACAACAAACAACATAATTATTACATTCAAACAAACTACTTGTAGTAGATGAAGTACATTATTCAAAAGTGTACATTAACTTTGAATAATCACACGGGAGAAACGGATCCTCTCTTTTCCTCTCTCCCTCTCTCTCTCTCTCCTGACAGCCCGTCAGTTTCTCATGCAGCTCCTGCAGCTCGCTAAACAGTGGGCGGGGCTTCAGGTGATTATGCAGAGCTGCGTGTCTCGGTCTGACTATGCAGCTGATCTGATCTCTCTCTCGTGTCCGGTTACACTTCACTCGCGTTTATGTCCATATCGATCAGTTCCAGCTCTCCTGATCGTTCTTTATAGAGAGCACCGATCAAACTATTAAGAGTGAATATCGGCCAATAATGACCGGTGGCCGATCTATCGGAGCCTTCCTAATTATTACCAGACATTTTGACCGGCAGGTTTTGAATTTACCGGTTTTTAATTAATGTTACCAGCTAAAAACCGGTAATTACCGGCTAACGGAAACCCTGGTCCCCACGTACGTTTCCGTACACGTCCCCACGTACGTTTCCGTACACGTTCCCACTTACGTTTCCGTACACGTTCCCACGTACGTTTCCGTACACGTTCCGACGTACACGTTCCCACGTACGTTTCCGTACACGTTCCCACGTACACGTTCCCACGTACGTTTCCGTACGTTTCCGTACACGTTCCCACGTACACGTTCCCACGTACGTTTCCGTACACGTTCCCACGTACGTTTCCGTACACGTTCCCACGTACACGTTCCCACGTACGTTTCCGTACACGTTCCCACGTACGTTTCCGTACACGTCCCGTTTCCGTACACGTCCCCACGTACGTTTCCGTACACGTCCCCACGTACACGTTCCCACGTACGTTTCCGTACGCGTTCCCACGTACGCGTTCCCACGTACGCGTTCCCACGTACGCGTTCCCACGTACGCGTTCCCACGTACGTTTCCGTACACGTTCCCACGTACATTTCCGTACACGTTCCCACGTACGTTTCCGTACACGTTCCCACGTACGTTTCCGTACACGTCCCGTTTCCATACACGTCCCGTTTCCATACACGTCCCCACATACGTTTCCGTACACGTTCCCACGTACGTTTCCGTACACGTTCCCACGTACGTTTCCGTACACGTTCCCACTTACGTTTCCGTACACGTTCCCACTTACGTTTCCGAACACGTTCCCACGTACACACGTACGTTTCCGTACACGTTCCCACGTACACGTCCCGTTTTCGTACACGTCCCGTTTCCGTACACGTTCCCACATACGTTTCCGTACACGTCCCCACATACGTTTCCGTACACGTCCCCACATACGTTTCCGTACACGTCCCCACATACGTTTCCGTACACGTCCCCACAAACGTTTCCGTACACGTCCCGTTTCCGTACACGTCCCGTTTCCGTACACGTCCCGTTTCCGTACACATCCCGTTTCCGCACACATTCCCACATACGTTTTCGTACACGTCCCGTTGCCGTACACGTTCCCACATACGTTTCCGTACACGTCCCCACATACGTTTCCGTACACGTCCCCACATACGTTTCCGTACACGTCCCCACAAACGTTTCCGTACACGTCCCGTTTCCGCACACGTTCCCACATACGTTCCCGTACACGTCCCGTTTCCGCACACGTTCCCACATACGTTTTCGTACACGTCCCGTTTCCGCACACGTCCCACATACGTTTTCGTACACGTCCCCACATACGTTTCCATACACGTCCCCACAAACGTTTCCGTACACGTCCCGTTTCCGCACACGTTCCCACATACGTTCCCGTACACGTCCCGTTTCCGCACACGTTCCCACATACGTTTTCGTACACGTCCCGTTTCCGCACACGTTCCCACATACGTTTTCATACACGTCCCCACATACGTTTCCGTACACATCCCGTTGCCGTACACGTTCCCACATACGTTTCCGTACACGTTCCCACATACGTTTCCGTACACGTCCCCACATACGTTTCCGTACACGTTCCCACATACGTTTCCGTACACGTCCCCACATACGTTTCCGTACACGTCCCCACATACGTTTCCGTACACGTCCCGTTTCCGCACACGTTCCCACATACGTTCCCGTACACGTCCCGTTTCCGCACACGTTCCCACATACGTTTTCGTACACGTCCCGTTTCCGCACACGTTCCCACATACGTTTTCGTACACGTCCCCACATACGTTTCCATACACGTCCCCACATACGTTTCCGTACACGTCCCGTTTCCGCACACGTTCCCACATACGTTTCCGCACACGTTCCCACATACGTTTCCGCACACGTTCCCACATACGTTTTCGTACACGTCCCCACATACATTTCCACACACGTTCCCACATACGTTTTCGTACACGTCCCCACATACGTTTCCGTACACGTCCCGTTTCCGTACACGTCCTCACATACGTTTCCGCACACGTTCCCACATACGTTTCCGTACACGTCCCGTTTCCGTACACGTTCCCACATACGTTTCCATACACGTTCCCACATACGTTTCCGTACACGTCCCGTTTCCGTACACGTTCCCACATACGTTTCCGTACACGTTCCCACATACGTTTCCGTACACGTCCCCACATACGTTTCCGTACACGTCACTGTTACGGCTGCTGCCTTCCTGGTCGCCTTGATTGTGTTGTGTGATATGCAAATGAGCTGTGCGGTTGCCCTGCCGTCATTGGCTGCCATCTCCTGGTCCATCCTCCTGAGAATTGTGATTGGAGCACGCCGGGCCCAACGCAGTCTAATCGCAGCACACAGCCGGTGCGCACCTGCTGGAGACAACTACAAAGCCTACAAAGGGAAATCATCATTCTGGAGGCTCTGTGATGTGGGACAGACGCCTGTAGCCTCTTGTTGTGATTACTCGTTTGTTTGATGATTGAGTGACTTCTCTGTGTTCAGTTATACTGCTTAGCAGCATGTTGAAGTAGTGTTCTGTGTTTAGCGTAGTATGTGTGTGTAAAGAAGATCCAGGTTAGCTTAGCGGGTAGCGCCTGTTGATCAGCAGCAGCTGTGTTGTGTTACAGCTTTTTCAGTTTCCTGTACCACGTTTCAGTGAGGTTTTTGTTTCTCTTTTGGGTACTAATTATTACTGTGTATACTCTATCTCTTTTTGTTGATTGTTAAACAATCAGTATTTGGCACTTTGTTTATGCCAGGCTGCACGCCTTTATTATTTTGTCACCACTATTTAACTATAATAAATCCCTATAACTATTACCAATTCCAACTGGTGTGTGTTGCACTTCCTCATCCCTAGTGGGGACGTAACAGTCCCCACATACGTTGCCGTACACGTCCCCACATACGTTTCCGTACACGTTCCCACGTACGTTTCCATACACGTCCCCACATACGTTTCCGTACACGTTCCCCCATACGTTTCCGTACACGTTCCCCCATACGTTTCCGTACACGTCCCCACATACGTCACGTCCCCACATACGTTTCCGTACACGTCCCCACATATTATTATTATTATTTTATCATTTTCAGCTAAATGGACCAGGAAGATTTCTAACGTTTTTTATCCTGTGTTTGTTCAGAGGTTCCCGGTGGTAGCGGTGAAACCCAGAGCCTGGATGACTCCATCGAGAAACTCATCGAGAACCTCAGCCTGAGCCCTCAGGCTCCACAGGTAGAAAATGTGCCTGACTGGTTTGTCTTTCTGTCGGCACGACAACAGAAAAACACCCAGCCTGATTATCAAGAATCCTGGCTGAAGAGTCAAACAAGGAAGCCATTCAAAGTTGATTTAACAATCAATGGGCAGATCCACTATGTTTGCCAAAGTGCTGCATTCAAGATGTACAACAGGAGACCCCAATGGTGGTTTACTCATGGACTCAAGCACTCTACTTAGTAGGGCTGGGAATCACCAGACTCCCCACGATACGATACTATCGCGATACTTAAGCCACGATACGATAGTATTGCGATTCTACGATATACTAAGTATTGCGATACTGCAGATCACATGCGTCATGTCCATGTCCGTCTTCCCTTCCTGGTTAAAACATGTATTTGCAATATGAATAGTTTATGTAAATAACCCAATGTTTGTTCTTTGAACCTCAAAGGAGTTGTTTTTGTTACTTTCATTGCAATTGTATTCATGTCTTAACTTAACTTCCTGTTTTATATAGAGCTAATATATTTGTATAAAGGCAGGAAATGGAATTAAATCGAGAAACATTTTCATTGCGGAGGACCCTCTGTTTTGTGTGTCCCCCACTTCTCAAACCAAAGTTACACCCTTGGGTAAATGCTTATTTCTTATTTATCACTTACAGCTTTGAGACATGTTTTGTATTTACGTTCATTGAGAGGCTTTTCTTTTCTTTGCGTGCAGGAGGAATCCATCTTTGATCTAAAATCCAGTGGAATTCTTGAGACGGAAGCAATTGTTGGGAAAGTTGTTAAAAAATCCGAGCTGCTTTATCCTGAGAGTCCACTTACCTCCATTAAAGACATCAAATCATCTCCTCTCAAGACATACGTGAGCGTCGAAGGAACCGTCACCCAGGTGAGTTCAAACTGCAGACCTACTTCACACACTGGAGCCTGGTTAGGTTGGTAATGCATTCAACAAATGTGTCTTTAACATGTTTTAAATGCCTTTTCAAGATCTTAGAAACCTATTTATTCAGGGATAACTAAAGATAAACTAATGGACCAGTCATTGATATGATATTTATTTATATATATTTATATTTGTTTTGAAATGTTGTGAAATAGAAATCATTTGTGCGCTTTCTCTGCTGCTTTTTTTCAGGTTGATCCCATCAAAAAAGTGAAGGTGCAACACGAGGAGAAGAAGACGAAAAGGTTCAATCTGAAACAGGAAGCTGATGAAATCAGCGTCACCATGTGGGACGAGGCCATCCAGCAGACCAAAGACGTTTCAGTCGGAGACGTCATTCTTCTTAACAACATGAAGCGCAAGGTGTACTTAAGGGAAGTGTATCTCAACTCAACTCAGTTCACCAAAATCACCAAGGTGCCTGCAGGGAGTTCTGCAAATGAATTTTTTCCTTGAAATTTAAAACTTCGAAATGTGGACTTTTTGCAAAATATATAAAAATTCTGACTTTTTGGTAAAAGGCTCGAAATGCTGACTTTTTCAAAAAATCAGAAAATGTTGAACTTTTTCAAAAAATCTAAAAAATCTTCATTATTTTTAAAAATGTTGACATTTTTCTCAAAATTCTGACTTTTTCTCAAAATTCTGACTTTTTAAAAAACTCAATCTTACTTTAATTCTTTATCTCCCTGTTTTTTATAGCTTGTTTTTGAAGTTATTAGTTTAATAAACTGTACATGAATAAAGAACCTGGTGTTATTGTTGTGTTTATGAATCGGTCAACGTTCAGCGATCCAGAATCAGAAAAACAACGTAAACTAACAATAATTATCATGTATTTAAAATGTGTTTTTACATGTATTTTTTTTAAATGTATTATACCGCAATAACTAATTAAAACGTTCCCCTATTCAATGTTCCCGCAGTAATTTATTTTGTACAAAAACACCAAGCCTGAAGCTGATAATACAAAATAAAATGCCATTCAATTTAACAAAAATAAGAAATAAATATTTTCATCATAATCTTTAATCATTTCCCTTATTGATTTATTTAACTCTTATTTAACATGTATTTATTTTTATATAAGACACACTTTTATAATATGTTAATGAGATCCTGTTCTCAATAAATGAAACTTAAGGAAGGTTTATTTTGGGCCAAACCATTCTTCACTGGACTGGTTGTCACGAGGGTTAACAATGACAGTTGGAGAATAACCCCCGGGGGGGGGGCTTCTCCGTTATATATTTGTACTATTACAAATCAACAGGGCAGCAAATCAAGATTTCATTTGGTACGATCCAAACCGGTTCAGACTTCCTCTTTCTAACTCTGATACATTATACACACACACATTAGATGTGTTTCGCGCACTTACGTGTCCATCCCCCCATGTTAGTCAAATCAAGATTTCAGTTGGTACACTCCAAACAGGTTCTGACTTCCTTCTCCTCTGACTTCCTCTCTATAAATCTGATAAAAAAATCTACCAAGTGTGAAAACCCAGGCTGAGGTTGAAGGAAGAGACGCAGTAAGTTCACTCTCAGTTTGTTCAGAAAATCTATCTGTGAGTAACATGTCATTATGATTTTACTTAAGGGTTACTTTAAGGGTTACTTTAAGGTGTTTTAGTATTCCCTGCTACTTCAGACTGTACTTCACTTCAGAGGTAAATCTCCTCCTGTTCGGTGGAAACCATGAATCCTATCAGTATTGAAAAATGGGGAAAGAAAAAGTCAAATATATCCTGAGATACGATACGATATTACTTTATTTGTCAGATCAAGTCTGAAATTTGACTTGCGTCACAGCAGCTCCATGTCCAACATCAACAGACAAGTATGCATACACAATACATGAAACACAAACAACAAACATTTAACATAACAGCACAATCAGTGAGAGAAAAGCTGCTCAGAGAGCCTTCAGCTGATCTGATCTGGGGTCAGCTCTGTGTTGACTGTGAGGACTGACTGATGCTCAAAGGATGCTTCAGTCTGACCTTATTGAATGGTGGGACCCTGTATCTCCGATCAGATGGTAGCAGTTCATACTCACTGTTCAGAACATGGTTTGGGTCAGAGATGATGTGGTTGGACAGCCTCACTAGGTAGTTATGATGAGTCATAGAGTCTCTCACAGGTGGACCAACGATCTTTGAGCAGATTTTCAACAGGTGGAGCAGTTTTGATTTTAAAGCTGCTGACAAAGGTTAGGGTTAGTACACTACTACTAACGCTCTATAAATACTAGGGGTGCACCGAATGGGAAATTCTTGGCCGAAACCGATACCGAAAATAGGAAATAGTTGGCCGAAAACCGAATGCCGAAAGGCCAAAAATGATTAATAGAAATATATATATATAATGTATACATTTTTTACCAATGTTGTTCTGATTATGGAAATGTTTTCCTGCCGGCCGCCGTAAAATAGACATGATTATGGCAAAACTTAACTTAAATAATAATCACTATTATGGGTCCATAAAACATTTATTCAGCACTTTTGAATGCATACAGTACATTTATATATGTCATGTATTATTGCTAAAAAACATGATATCGCAGTCTTAGTGTCGCCAACTCGTTTCTAATATGCAAAGACAACAAATGCGTCTATGATGTATTTTCGATCAGACGAGATCTCTCTCCCGTCTGTGTGCGAGGGGGCGGGGCAGTTTACACACACGCAGCTGCTACATGCAGCGGAGCACACTGCGGAGATGGCGGAGAGAACGCGCTCCGGGGTGTGGTTCAACTTTACCCGTCTCGATGTGGAGAATACTTGTTACCATAAGTGCAATAAGAGTTTAGCATGTAAGCACGAGCAATTTGTCTAAACATTTAGCAAAAGTGCACCGCATGCAGACGGAGGAATGTACCGGGTTCGACCGTCTTTCTAGCAGCTCTGTAGCCCCATCACGAGTAACGTTTCCACGTCAGGTGTTCTGTATGCTAGCAGCAACACACGGAGTTAACTACATGATACAAACATGGGTTAATGATTAGAGGAAACTGAGTTATTTAGTTTGTTAAAATTTCAGCTATTCTGTTTACAGTCTGTCATCAGATTATTTAATACGATTTGTTAAAGGCTCAGGGCAATCTCGATGACAAAGGTCAATGTCCCCCCCCCCCTGTGAGCCAGCCGCGAGCATGGTCGCCGCGTCTTTATTACGTCATCACAACAACACGTTAGGTTACCAACGTAAGCCTGTTCTGACATTCGGTGATATTTTTTCGGTGCTAAAACCCTTTCGGCCGAAAGGGCCTTTTTAACCATTTTCGGCCGATAATCTTCGGTGGCCGAATATTCGGTGCATCCCTAATAAATACAATGCAGATCTTGTTACTGAGTAACAGTTGAAGTCAGTGGAGGCGTAAGGGTATGGCTAGGGTAGGCTACAGCCATACCAAGAAATGGCTTAGCCCCACCTTGAAAAATGATGTTAAAGTAAGCAAAATAAAGTCCGCCAACTCGCACAGAGTAAACTGCACAGACAGCAGTTAGTCACATTGATTTCAGCCTCTCGTCTGGAAATACCGAAGACCAGAAACGGCTTTGAAAACGTTTGTCACGTAGTGATCATCTTCCCAATAGAACATCTTTGATAATGTCTTCTGGCCAATCAGAATCAAGATAACGGCGTGGTGTTGTTGCAGGAAGTCCCAACGGAGAATACTTTAGCTGTAGTACATCTCTATATACATCGATACAACATTACGTGTTGATAGAAATCAACACGTAATGAAATAAGACCCCACGGTTTGATGATTGATAAGTGTGTGGGCTGTCTTTCATTTTGACACACAGAACAATGGGGGCTATCCACCCTTATCCACAATGTAAAGTCATTCACAGCCTCTTCCCTCTTCTCTCTGAGGAGCAGCAGGTTCAGCTTTCAGAACAAAGTAACACAAAACTAAAATAGCATTATTTTTTTTAAATATGTCGTGTAGTAATAGATGTATTTTTTTTTCTTCTCAAGAGAGTACCAGAATGTGTATTTTATGTTAGTATTTCAAAAAATCTCCTGGGGGAGAATCCCCCCAGACCCCCCTACAGAGGTTGGGTTTTCAGCAGGTCAACTCTTTCACCTGTGGGGAAGTTGCAGGATTGGCTCCAGGTCGCCCTTTTATTTACTACAAGACAAATGTGCCTTTTTATTTCATACAGTTGAATTTGGATTGAGACGGGGAAATAATCTAAACCTCACGCGTGGCGTTTCACTGTCAAGGGGAGCGTGTATGTAATTACATTGCAAAAACTGACTTGAGCCCCAGCACCACTGTATGGGTTAGCCCTACCATAGATTACCCAACACAAATACTCTGGAGCCGCCACTGGTAGAAGTACTCAGATCTTGTACTTGAGTAAAAGTAGAAGTACCAGAGTGTAGGAATACTCTGTTACAGTAAAAGTCCTGCATTCAAAATGTTCCTCAAGTGAAAGTAAAAAGTATTCTCATCAAAATATAGTCAAAGTAGTCGTTGTGCAGATTGGTCCATTTCAGAATAATATACACTGAACAAAAATATAAACGCAACACTTTTGTTTTTGCTCCCATTCTTCATGAGATGAACTCAAAGATCTAAAACATTTTCTATAAACACAAAATAACCATTTCTCTCAAATATTGTTCACAAATCTGAAAGAATCTGTGATAGTGAGCACTTCTCCTTTGCCGAGATAATCCATCCCACCTCACAGGTGTGGCATATCAAGATGCTGATTAGACAGCAGGATTATTGCACAGGTGAGCCTTAGGCTGGCCACAATAAAAGGCCACTCTGAAACGTGCAGTTTTGCTTTATTGGGGGGGTCTGGGGGGGTCCGAAAACCAGTCAGTATCTGGTGTGAGGGGTAGGATTAGGGTTAGGGTAATGTTGTGAATCGAGTGGCCTGTGTTCGTTGTCCATAACATACGCCTGCCCATACCATAACCCCACCACCACCATGGGCCACTCGATTCACAACATTACCCTACCCCTACCCCTAACCCTAAAAAAATGAATGAATGAACATTAGCGTCTGCTTAGTACCCAAACATAAACATTAAATATGTCTCATCATTTAAACATGAAAAGTAAAATGACGGGTAATAATGGATTATATCGGAAATGTTAGGATCCTGTCCGTCAAAATGACTTACAACGAAAAAGTCCAACACCACCACTGCTGTTGGTGTCAGCGTTTAGCAGAGGGAAGACAGCTCTAACAGACTGTTACCGCCCACCTCCTCCTGTTTGTGCTCAGATGGACCTGAAGGCGTTGGAGACGAAGTGGAGGACGGCGCTGAGCTCCATCCTGGACGAGCTGACGGAGGAACATTTTCGGAAACTTCTGTGTCTTTTGGAGAAGATCCCTCAGGGGTTGAAGCAGGGGAGGGTGCGGGGCGACATGCCCAGCGTCATCATCCAGTACTACGGCACCGAGGGATCCATCGCAGTCATCGACAACCTGGTGAAGTTACTGCCCAGGCTGGACGCCGCCGTGCAGCAGCCGCTCGAAGAAATTAAGGAGCTGAAGAAACTCCGCGAGAAAAAAAAAGGTCAGCTCAGCGGGGTCGTGTTGGACGAGAGCCAGACCTCCTTCTCCAAACGTTTTAAATAACTCTTTAACTTATTTCGTAGCAGTTCCGTAAAAGTTTTCCGTGCATGTTTCAGTACACAGTCCCGTACACGTTTTCCTCTCATTGATGATTTATTAGTGAGAAATTGTTTGTAAAATGTCACATTTATTTTGAGCCTTGATGAAACGGTGGTTTGTAAATGTTTCCGCACACATTAGTAACAGGGCTGAAACAGAGGGGGATGAGGCGACAACGAGTCATCTGTTTGGTATGTTGAGCTAAACACTTCAGAGACATGTTTTGTATAGATATGGCCCTGTAATATATTGTTCACATATAGCATAATAGGTGAGCTTTAACTCTTCAAACCATAATTAAGGGCTTATTTTAGACCAATCGGATCAATGCTGTTGAACATCTCTGAGGATCTCCTAAAGAGGGATCATGTTCAGGTGATATGAATATTTAGAGCCTCTACTTTCACAGGGACCAAAGCTGCAGCTGACTCAGGAGCAGCGCCTAAGAAGAAGAAACCTGCAGCTGGTACACACACACACACACACACACACACACACACACACACACACACACACACACACACACACACACACACACACACAGTATACATATTATTTATCATATATAATTATATTTATCATTTTCAGTTCGTTAAACTTTTTTAAATGTATTTGTTTAGCGGCGACAAGCAATGAAACTGACTCAGGAGCCCAGGCTGCTAAGAAGAGAAACCGCAGCTGGTACACACACACACACACCACACAACCACACCCACACACACACACGTACACACAACACGCACACACACAACACACACCACACACACAACACGTACACACACCTTACACACACAACACGTACACACACCTTACACACACACCACGTACACACACACACACACAACACGTACACACACCTTACACACACACCACGTACACACACCTTACACACACAACACGTACACACACACACACAACACGTACACACACACAACAATTTACACACACAACACGTACACACACACACACACAACACGTACACACACCTTACACACACCACACGTACACACACCTTACACACACCACCACACACACGTACACACACACATACACCCACACACATACCATCACACACCACACACACGTACACACACAGTCCACACACACGTACAACACCACGCTACACACAACACAACACACACCACACGCACCAACCACACACATACACACACATACACACACGTACACACACACACACCTTACACACACGTACACACACAACACACACATACACACACACACGTACACACACACACACACACACACACAGTACACACACACATACACACACACACACACGTACACACACACGTACACACACACACACACGTACACACACACACACACACACACACACACACACACCACACACACACAAGAAATGGGGGCAGGAACGTGTGTTTTTTTAAATCTCATGTTTGTTCAGAGGTTTCCGGCGGCAGTGGTGAAACCCAGATCATGGGTCGAGACTCAACCCCGAACCCAGCCTGGTTCCTCCCAAAAGCAAAGGTAGTTGAGAGATGTTGTTTTGTTTGTTTGTTAGCAAGATGACATCGAACCACTGGCCCGATGTTTCTGAAACCTGGTGGGAGAAAGAATCTAACGTTGGAAAGTCTTTGGTGTTTTGTTCAGAAGCTTCCAGTCGGAGCTGTGGAGCCTCAACCGAAGGAACCAGCCGGAGCCACACTGAAGCCAAAGGTAGGACATCAGCTATGGTTCCACAGAAGTGTCAGGAGGTTCATGACGTCGTGTACGAAGAGAGTCCAGTAGATGTGAACTTTATCACAATGTCGTTTTTATTGCACTAAAACTAAGGAAATAGTCCTGGTGTGACCGCGGACATGTTGAGACCCCAAAGTGACATGATAGAAATGTATCGTAGGGTCTTTAGCACATAGAAACTGCTGGATGCTAACCTGCATATCTTGGGACATTTTCACAATTACCATATGAAGATAATAGTTTAGAAATGTCTTGGCCGATGTGGAACGTTTTGGAGTGTTTTGGGGGGTTATTGGGGATGCTGAATCCATTTCTGACGTTTTCAGGGTCAGAAATTACAGTTTTAACCAGAAAGAGACCATATTTGTACTTTTGTTTTACTAATTCTGGGTCGATTTGAAAGTTTTAGGGGACACTAAACTGACATTGTTGATCCTGAAAGTGTCAGAATTGGACTAAGCATCATCACACACTTCAATTCGTAATTCAACTTGTATATTTTCTACTTTTTAATGCAATTTTATTTCTATTTGAGATGTTTACATTTTGGATCGATTATTTCTTTTAATTTCTCTCATATAAAATGCTTGCTGCTACCAGTCGGACTTTTTCCTAAAAATCTCAAAAATTCTGACTTTTTCCTCTTGTCGACTAAATCTTCCAAATGGAACCAAGATTAATCTAAATCAGCCCAAAGAGTACAGGTACGTCCCCTTTCTGGTTCAAACTGGCATTTCTGATCCTAAAACTGTCAGAAATCGGCTCAATAACCCCAAAACACCAAAATGGGCCAAACCATTTGTAAATATTGTCTGCATATGCTAATTAACGCAACTTATGGTAATTGTGCAAATTGTCCCCACATGCAGGTTATCCGGCAGTTTCTATGTGCCGAAGACACTACTATACATTTCTATCTTAAAACTTTGGGGTACTCAACATTTCCGGGTTCAAACTGTCGACGATGATGTGACCCCTGGACTAACGCCCCTGATTTAACTCCTTTATCAAACTCTATAGCTCCCTTCAGCAAAGGGACTGAGAACTTCCACACCACCACTATGTGCAAAATAAATACCATTACCATCACTCTCTGCTATATAACATGTGCAATATTATTATTATTAATATTATTAATAATGTTCTATAATAACGTGCAATTACGTCTCTGCCACTACGGTTTTTTGCACTACTAAATACTGCTCGTCACTGTACAGTATTTTACATTCATTATGTGCGCGTCTTTGTTTCCTGTAGTTATTTAATTGCTCTGTTCGTGTTCAGTTTTAACGGATAAATAAAGTCCTATCTTATCTGAGAAGTTGTTGGTATGACTGTGATGTGTGTGTTTGTCCAGGATCAGAGTGCTGCTCCTCTGCAGATAAGGAAGATTAAAGTAATCACATTACTCCGCACCACCAAAACAAACGCTCACCTGCAGGTGCAGTTTGAGGGTTGTTTTCTGGAAGTTTACGGAAAGACTGAAGTCCTTTCTGAGGGGATGGGCTTCCAAACCGTGGAGGAATTCAACAAAGGCTTTTTCCACATGCTACCTCTCACTGTGACGGCGAACATGCGAGGAAAGAGGATCCTGGAGATGAGAATGATCTGAAACACTGTTTGCTTTGAATCATGTTGAGAGGTTTCAATCCTCTCCAATCTCATGTTTTACTAATAAAGAGATTCTAAAAGCAGAGACAGTGTTTTTAATCCTGTGCTTCAATAAGTTGGTCCTTTTATTTTCTAATTGGTGGATAAAACTATGGATGTTCTCACAGCAGTTTAAAATAGATATTAAAAAGGGAATTATGACCCTCTCTCAGTTTTGAGATTCTCCTCGCTGCCCAGCAACTGGAAACAATAAATCCAGAGAGATCCAAAAATATCATGAAAAAATCTTTATTTCTACTTGACTTTATTAAAAAATATCAACAAAATGAAAAAAAAATTCTCAAATTTTAATATTCTGAATTGTTCTCAAAGTTCTGACTTTTTTCACAAAATCATAAAATTCTCACTTTTTTCTCAAAATCTCAAACTTCTGACTTTTTCCTATAGTCGGAGTCGGAAAAGCGTGCACAGCTTGTCATGTGACGAGGAACAACCAATCACAGCCGAGAGATATCTTTACATCCGTCAACATAAGTGTGCAGAAAATATGAAGGGGGCGGAGCATAAAATGCTCCTCACCTTAATCTGAAGACTTTATCTGATGTTTTCTCACGTCCTGAACATTGACCGTTTACGTGTCTTCATGCAGGTTCAAAGTGTCGGCATCCGGAAAGTGACCCTCAAGATTAGAGGGATCAAGGAAGCCACGCTGAAGGAGACTCACCTGGAGGTGGATTTAGACACAAAGCTGCTCACGCTCGTCGTGGCGTCTCGACTTCTGGCGAACACGCTCGACTTCCAGCTGAAGACAGGCTTTGGTGATGATCTCCTTAAGGCTGGCGTCACACTGTCCCGAAATTGACACCAGATGGACACACGAATATGGAATTGTGAATTTTGCACGAAGATGGCCCCGAACTTGGTCAACAGCCAAGCAACAGCCAAAGCAAGTACGATGCCTAGAGAAGGCCACACGATGGCAACACGAAGATGTGCATTTTTATAGTAGTCTATACCCGCAGGACACACGAAGGCTCTTCGGGGGGTGCTAATATTTAAACATACACTTTATTCTTTACTTTCTCCGTCTTTATATGTAGAAGATATTACTTTTCTCCGTCATGTTGTTTCCATAGCAACAACAACTTCCTGTCAACAGCGTAAACTCGCCTTCAAAATAAAAGCATCTAAATAAAACAGGAAGTTAACCTAAATTACATTTAAGACATACAACTGCAACGAAAGTAACAACAAGGATGTAATATCCTTTTCAGTTTCACAGAACACAAATTGGGTTATTTACATAATATGTTTACATGATTTTGTTGTGCAATAAAACAACCAGAGAAGCAATCTGCAAGGAAACATAGCACACCGTGTCCACATGCTCCTGTTTCACCTGCTTAATACAGGTATCATCACTGCTACTGATTTTGATAGAGCATTTGTGATGAATTGTGATTGAAGCTTTGGGAGTTACACACGCCTCTGCTCTGTAGAGTTGCTCAGGACTGACTGAGGAAGATGCTCTGAGGCTGGCCTTTTATATGTCCACGTTACCATGACACATGGGAAACGCTTGAGCTACTCAAATTCGGCTGTCTTCGCCGACACCGTGGTCCCATCTTGATGTCATCGTACTATAATACAATGGCTACACGACGGCATTGCGAGGGCTTCACGTAGTCGTGTTGCCTTCCTAAGACAATCGGGCAGCTTCTTGTTTCCTTCGTATTGTCTTCGTGAGGCGAAAAATGCCCGATGGCACCGATGATCACACGAAGTAAAGACGAAGATGACACGATTTGACAAGATGCCCTCACGCTGGCCTTACGAAGGGCAAAATGGACACACAAATGAAACACGAAAATGAACCTTCGCAAGGTCTTTCGACACTTTTTTGGCATGCCAAAGATTTTTCCACCGCTCACAAAGTTGCTGCCGGAGCCTGAGAAACTCCACCGGCGGTCATACGATGGCTTAAGATGCCCTCACGAATGGCCCGATGTTGCTACGATCAGAGCCGAATTTGAACATTGCCTTTATCGTGTGTCCATCGGGTGTCAATTTCGGGACAGTGTGAAGCAGGCTTGAAAGAATACCGCTCTCAGTGGAGTCCGACATAAAAGGAAACAGAATCATCAACATGTCAGTCCCTGAGAAGATCTGAAGGGGAGTTCTGCAAATTAATGTTTTACTCAAAATCTCAAAATTCTGACTTTTTAAAAAAACTAAAAAATCTTAATTTAATCATTTATCTCCCTGTTTTTGTAGTTATTAGCTTAATAAACTTCACATTAATAAAGAACATGGTGTTGAGATTTATGTGTTTATGAAATGGTCAATTTTCAGCGATCCAGAACATTATCATGTATTTGAAATGTGTTTTTACATGTATTTATTTGTCCTTTAACATGTATTATAATGTAATTAACTAATTAAAACGTTCCCCTATTCAATGTTCCCCCAGTAATTTATTTTGTTTACTTTAGTATTTATCTGGTTGATTTATTATTCATAAACAAAAACACCAAGTCTGAAGCTGACAGATAATACAAAAATAAAATGCCATTCAATTTAACAAAAATTATATTAAATCATAATCTTTATTCCCATTCATTTATTTAATCATTTCCCTTTATTTAACTCTTATTTAAAATGTATGTATTTGATATAAGACACACTTTTATAATATGTTAATGAGATCCTGTTCACAATAAATGAAACTTAAGGAAGGTTTCTTTCGGGCCAAACCATTCTTCACAGATTGCTGGTATACTAACTGGAGGTTCCTTGTACCTGGCTGCAGGCTTAGAATTTAAATTAACCGAGAGCTATATCACATGCTATACCTGACTCCTCTCTCTTATACATTCTGGTAGAGTAAAACCCCTAATCCTCTGATTCTACAGAACACCCCGAGTCTGTGAAAAGTATAATATGTGTTGTAAGCAAGAGTGTTACGTGCCAGGCAGGCTGTACTGGTGTGGTTTTCCTTCCCTCCTGTGTTTCTCTCTTCTCCCTGTCTTCTGCACAGCTAATCAGCAGCTGATCGGTATCTGCCTGTGCACCTGAGTCTGATGGCTGATTGGATCCTCTCACCCTCAGCTGGCCTATCAGCAGCCAGGGCCGACCATAAAGGAGGCACCCAGGAAGTCTTCTCGCTCTCTCACTCTGGGCCTGTTGCTGATTGAGGAGCCTGCAATAGACTGCAGTGTTTAGCAACTCATGCTCCTTGTATTGTCTGACCTTTTTGAAAGTGTGTGTGTTGAGAGGTGGAGGAGTTAGGTAAGTCCGGGGTACCCTGTATATTTCTCACCACGTAGCTAACTAATGTTTAGACACACTAGGTTAGCGGATTGTTGCCACCCCTGTATATTGTTTTGTCAAAGTCTTTGTAGTTTAGTTAGTGAGGGTTTTTGTTTGAGTTTTGGTTTCAAAGGATAGATGTAGAGAGAGGCCTGGTGTTGTTATGCTTGTTTCTTTTGTTTGGCGCAATCCTTTGACTCCTCCTCCTCACCAACTAAGGTTTCAGTTATATGTCTGTTCGGTTCTGGGTTTACAAAATAAACCTTGTGTAAACTGTTACGCTGACTCCCGCATAATTATTGGTTGTATGTTATTGTCTCCAGGTCCCCTAGACCAGTGATTCTGAAATGGGGGTACGCGGACCCCTGGGGGTACGTTGGGGTACTGCAGGGGTTTTGTTTTTTTATATAAAACATTCCTAGAACCACCATGGGGGTCCTCATATAAACATGTAAAATGTGTGTATTGTATTTTATAGTTTTTCACAATAACAACATATTACTTAAATTGAAAAACTCCTTTGGAAAAATCTGTTTTATAAAAGTGTTGTTATTTTTTTTTCATGCATAAAATGAAAATATCCTTAGTTTGTTGTCATGCATACCACGAAGGAGTTAATACATCACACACTGAGGGAACATCACTATATTGTAGTTATTTATATAGGCTTTTTCGATCAAAAATGTTCGGGATCGGTCAGGGGGTACTTGGCTGAGAAAATGTTTCAAAGGGGGGACATGACTGAAAAAAGTTTGAGAAGCACTGCCCTAGACCTTAGTGGGGACGTAACAATGGGGGCTCGTCCAGGATTTCTATTTTCCTGAGCTAAAAACAACCAATAATTGAGAAGTCATTGTAGGTGTAGGTGCTGAAAAATGGGTTTTGACTTACAGGACTTTATTGAAAGTCCAAGTGTTGATAAGTTGTATTCCTGTCGTAAAGACGACATGTTATGTATTGCAGCTCACTTTAACATTTCAGTAGACAAGTATAAAGTAAAAAAAGAGATGAGAGAGAAAATCCTGCAAAAACTAGAGGAGTTAAAGATTCTTGTAATTCCAAGCATGTCAACTCAGCCTAGGGCTAAAGAGTCTATTGAAGATGATAGGGAAAGTGTATTAGCTACACCTAGAGTTGACAAGTTTAGTCCTGAAGCTCCTCCTGCAACGCTTCCTATGTTTGAGGCTTTCTCTCCGGGTAGCTTAGGTGCAAGTAGTAATGCCAAACTAAAAGTTCGTCTTGCCCGGCTTCAGCTGGAGTTCCAGGAGAAGGAAATGGTGCGTAGAGCGGACTATGAACACAAACTGCAGATTCGCAAGTTATAGATAGAAGCTGAGAAAGAAATCACGTTAAAGCGGCTTGAAGTTGATGCCCTGAGAATCTCTTCAGAGCAGACCTTTGAGAGGTCAATACCTTCGCATACAGTCTCTCACAAAAAAAAAAAAACTTTCAACATGCCTTCCAGCTATAAAGGTGTTGTCCATGTGAACACAAAGGTACTTGTATGAGAGAACTTCATTGATTTGTTCATCGTGTATAATTTCCAACAATACAGTGATGGACCTATGCATTTGTGAAGAGGATACATACATATACACACACAGACATACTGATTACTGTAGCTGAGGCCTGCTCTCACCGGCTCAGCTCTGCTGTGCTACTGTAGCTGAGGCCTGCTCTCACCTGCCCTACTCTGCTGTGCTGCTGTAGCTGAGGCCTGCTCTCACGAGGCCTGCTCTCACCTGCCCTGCTCTGCTGTGCTGCTGTAGCTGAGGCCTGCTCTCACCGGCTCTGCTCTGCTGTGCTGCTGTAGCTGAGGCCTGCTCTCACCGGCTCTGCTGTGCTGCTGTAGCTGAGGCCTGCTCTCACCGGCTCTGCTATGCTGCTGTAGCTGAGGCCTGCTCTCTCCGGCTCTGCTCTGCTGTGCTGCTGTAGCTGAGGACTGCTCTCACCGGCTCTGCTCTGCTGTGCTGCTGTAGCTGAGGCCTGCTCTCACCTGCCATGATCTGCTGTGCTGCTGTAGCTGAGGCCTGCTCTCACCGGCTCTGCTGTGCTGCTGTAGCTGAGGCCTGCTCTCACCGGCTCTGCTGTGCTGTGCTGCTGTAGCTGAGGCCTGCTCTCACCGGCTCTGCTCTGCTGCTGTAGCTGAGGCCTGCTCTCATTGGCTCTGCTCTGCTGTGCTGCTGTAGCTGAGGCCTGCTCTCACCGGCTCTGCTGTGCTGCTGTAGCTGAGGCCTGCTCTCACCGGCTCTGCTCTGCTGCTGTAGCTGAGGCCTGCTCTCACCGGCTCTGATCTGCTGTGCTGCTGTAGCTGAGGCCTGCTCTCACCTGCCCTGCTCTGCTGTGCTGCTGTAGCTGAGGCCTGCTCTCACCGGCTCTGCTCTGCTGTGCTGCTGTAGCTGAGGCCTGGTTCCACCTGCCCTGCTGCTAGCTACCTGCTAGCTAACCAACCAGTTAGCTTGCTGGACTACGGACTGCTAACCTCTGGATAACCACGATCTATCGATATTATATACTGATACCAAGGACTGTTGACCTCTGGGTGAGTGCTGCTTCCTACCTTCACTGGACTAACAATGGTTAATCCCAAACTGTACTGCTTTTTCTTTGCGTTATTCGCTGCCTCCCCACCCCCCCCCTCTACATAACAAATGCGAACCGACGCACTTAACATCAGCAGTGCTGCCCACCTGTGTAACAAACTGTATCCATACAATAGGCAGAGACTATGACTCGTTGATGATATTCAGGTTCCTTGGGCTAACGCCAAACATAAACTCTGACACCATGCCACTACTATCATGTGTGATTATGAGGTCTCTACACGAGATGATTACGCTACATTACGCTAACCTGGCCAACCTCATACATCTCCAGCCTGCCACCACCCCTCCAACCCCCCACTTGACCAATTTTGCCCTCCT